AAAATAAATAATAACTTTATTATTGCCTCTAGGGCATATTTCCTTCATTCATGTGTGTCTCTCTCAAAAGGTGTGTACAACAAGGATGATTGTGGTAAACTAAAAAGCAAAGACTCAAATCATACAAGATGCTCCAAGCAAAACACATATCATGTGGCGAATAAAAATATAGCTCCAAGTAAAGTTACCGTTGAACGAAGACAAAAGAGGGGATGCCTTCCGGGGCATCCCCAAGCTTAGGCTTTTTGGTGTCCTTGTATTTTACCTTGGGGTGCCATGGGCATCCCCAAGCTTAGGATCTTGCCACTCCTTGTTCCATAATCCATCAAATCTTTACCCAAAACTTGAAAACTTCACAACATAAAACTTAACAAGAGAATCTCGTGAGCTCCGTTAGTGAAATAAAACAAAACACCACTTCAAGGTACAGTAATGAACTCATTATTTATTTATATTGGTGTTAAACCTACTGTATTCCAACTTCTCTATGGTTTATAAAATCTTTTAGCCATAGATTCATTAAAATAAGCAAACAGCACATGAAAAACAGAATCTGTCAAAAACAGAACAGTCTATAGTAATCTGTAACTAACGCAAACTTCTGGAACCCCAAAAATTCTAAAATAAATTGCTGGGCGTGAGTAATTTATCTATTAATCATCTGCAAAAACAATTAACTAATAGCACTCTCCAATAAAAAATGGCAGCAATTCTCGTGAGCGCTAAAGTTTCTGTTTTTTACAGCAAGATCAAAAAGACTTTCGCCAAGTCTTCCCAACGGTTCTACTTGGCACAAACACTAACTAAACACAAAAAACACAACCAAAACAGAGTCTAGATAAATTATTTATTACTAAACAGGAGCAAAAAGCAAGGAATAAAAATAAAATTGGGTTGCCTCCCAACAAGCGCTATCGTATAACGCCCCTAGCTAGGCATAAAAGCAAGGATAGACCTAGGTATTGCCATGATAATGATAAGATAAATCGCAAAAGCTCATCTCATACTCCCTATGTTCAGCAGCAAGCTTCCTTTGTGGCAAGCAAAAATAATCAAAAGGACTAAATTTAATGGGACAAAAGTCCCCAAGATCAAGCTCGGGAGGTATTGGTTCCTCCTTTGGCCCCTCATATTGCACAATCAATTCATCATTATAAGCATTCTTTTGGCAAAAAGTCACGAGTCTTTGTTCAAGGAAAAAACTTAGCTCATTGTTCTGGATGGCAAAATTATCATTAAGTTCAGAGATCCTATTAACAAGAGCATCGGTAGGAACCTTTTTTTCTAAGGTTTTCATTAAAAGCAACATGATCTAAAGATCGTAAACGCATAATATCTTCTTGATAGAAAAGAATTGCTTCTATGGGAGGACGGCCGGCATCCACCCTATAATGCGCAAAAATTTCATTGGCCTCTTTTATTATAAATCTGAACTCATGAGCTAAAAAGATGGTCGCTGCTCGCTTAATAGAGGAATGCTCAATATTAAAAAATTCTAGGAAAATCCTTTGTATGGAAGGATGCATATGTAAAAATTGTCTCTCGAGTTCAACTATGAGCAAAGAGATAGCATCTGCGAGACTACTAGTTTTATGAAGGATAGATCCACCCATAGTGGGCAAAGCACCGGCACAAGTAAAAAATCTTGAATAACTCCCTTCCCAATAATATTACCGCTGCCAATACGAAACTTTTTAGTGTGCAAAATAATAGGATTTTCAAGAGGATCATCAATAGCATCAAAGTTTTCCATATTACTATCCTTATCAACGACAACCTCCCCAATTTTAGACATGATGGCAACAAATTGCAAAAAGAACGAGCACACAGAAGGCAAGAAGGAAAAAGAGGTGAACGGAAAAGAGGGCAAATAAAACGGCAAGGGTGAAGTGGGGGAGAGGAAAACGAGAGGCAAATGGCAAATAATGTAATGCGAAGGATAAGAGTTGTGATGGGTACTTGGTATGTCTTGACTTGGCGTAGATCTCCCCGGCAACGGCGCCAGAAATCCTTCTTGCTACCTCTTGAGCACTACGTTGGTTTTCCCTTGAAGAGGAAAGGGTGGTGCAGTAAAGCAGCGTAACTATTTCCCTAAGTTTTTGAGAACCAAGGTATCAATCCAGTAGGAGACCACGCGCGAGTCACCTCGTACCTACACAAACAAATAAGAACCTCGCAACCAACGCGATAAAGGGGTTGTCAATCCCTTCACGTCCACTTGTAAGAGTGAGATCTGATAGAGATGATAATAATAAGATAAGTATTTTTGGTATTTTTATGATATAGATTGAAAGTAAAGATTGCACAATAAAATAGATATGAAACTTGTATGATGGAAAATAGACCCGGGGGCCATAGGTTTCACTAGTGGCTTCTCTCAAGATAGCATAAGTATCACGGTGCGTGAACAAATTACTGTCGAGCAATTGATAGAAAAAGTGAATAATTATGAGAATATGTAGGCATGATCATGTATATAGGCATCACGTCCGTGACAAGTAGACCGACTCCTGCCTGCATCTACTACTATTACTCCACACATCGACCTCTATCAAGCATGCATCTAGAGTATTAAGTTCATAAGAACAGAGTAACGTCTTAAGCAAGATGACATGATGTAGAGGGATAAACTAATGCAATATGATATAAACCCTATCTTTTTATCCTCGATGGCAACAATACAATACGTGTCGTTTCCCTTTCTGTCACTGGGATCGAGCACCGCAAGATTGAACCCAAAGCTAACCACTTCTCTCATTGCAAGAAAGATCAATCTAGTAGGTCAAACCAAACTGATGATTCGAAGAGACTTGCAAAGATAAACCAATCATACATAAAAGAATTCAGAGAAGATTCAAATATTGTTCATAGATAAACTTGATCATAAACCCACAATCCATCGGATCTCGACAAACACACCGCAAAAGAAGATTACATCGAATAGATTCCAAGAGAATCGAGGAGAACTTTGTATTGAGATCCAAAGAGAGAGAGAAGAAGTCATCTAGCTACTAGGTACGGACCCGAAGGTCTGAAATAAACTACTCACACATCATCGGAGGGGCCATGGAGTTGATGTAGAGGCCCTCCGTGATCAATGCCCCCTTCGGCGGAGCTCCGGAAAAGGCCCAAGATGGGATCTCTTGGGTACAGAAGGTTGCGGCGGTATAATTAGGTTTTCGTGGTGCTCCTGGATGTTTGCGGGGTATATGGATATATATAGGAGGAAGAAGTAGGTCGGTGGAGCAACGAGGGGTCCACGAGGGTGGAGGGCGCGCCCAGGGGGGTGGGCGCCCCCTGCCTCGTGGCCTCCTCGATTGTTTCTTGACGTCCACTCAAAGTCTCCTGGATCACGTTTGTTCCAAAAATAACGCTCCCGAAGGTTTCATTCCGTTTGGACTCCATTTGATATTTCTTTTCGGCGAAACTCTAAAATAAGCAAAAAAACAGCAATTTGGGATGGGCCTCCGGTTAATAGGTTAGTCCCAAAAATAATATAAAAATGTAAAAATAAGCCCATTAACATCCAAAATAGATAATATAATAGCATGGAGCAATCAAAAATTATACATACGTTGGAGACGTATCACTCTCATCGCTGCAGTAGCTCCTGGACGCCGCGGCGGATGGAGCCGGGTTCGTCCTCGTCGTCGGGCTCTGGCTCGCCGGCCGCGCTCCGCCCCGTCAAGCCTGAGCCGGAGGAGACGCCGCTCGGGCGGCGCACCCGCAACGGCGCTCTCGTCATCAACGAGGGTGCCCGGCCCACCCCGCCTGCTCCGGCTCCGGGGAGGCGCTCCCTTCGCCTGGTCCGGCTGAAGCTCGAGCCGGGGCTGCTCCCAGTGAAGCCGGAGCACGTTGATGGCATCCCCCGACGATAAGTCCGCCCTCAAGTGGGCGAAGAAGGACTACGTCCGGGAGCAGGTCCGCCGCCAGCGCCGGGCGTACGCGGAGCTCCAGGCCCGGCGCCGCGGGTGTGAGGAGGGCGGCATCATCGTCCTCGACAGCGACAAGGAAGACGAGGCCGGGCCGTCCAGCGCGCCTCCACGCCTTGGCGACCCTGGCCAGGGCTGCAGCAGGGACGGCGCCGGCCCAAGCCAGCCGCGCGACGATGACGGTGACGGCGGCGACTACACCCGCTTCTACAGGCTTCTCGGCATGTAGACGACGTCAGCGGCGATGGCGGCGACTACACCCGCTTCTATAGGCTTCTCGGCATGTTGACGACGACGGCGATGGCGGTTAGGTGTAGTTTGGCATAGTTTAGGCGTAGTTCAGACGTAGTTTGCATGTTTTTGATGTTTTCTGTTCAAATTTCAACGAAGTTTCGCCGAGTTCATGCAAAAGTCACCGAGTTTGTACATATTTTCGTACGCAACATCGCCGAACCGAGGCGACCTGTGGGCCACAACCATAGTTTTAAATAGCCCGCTATAGCCTTTTTGGTAGGGTGCCGCTAAATGGCCGTCTTTATAAATAACCCGCTATAGCCGCTTAACTCGCTATAGCTCCGTTATAGCTGATTTGAAGGTCCGCCGCTATTTTTCATAACCCGCTATTTAAAACATTGACCACGACTGGGAGCTAGGTCGCCCCCACGCGCCAATCTAGCGCCGGCTCACCCTCATGAGGCTCTTTTTCGGCGTCCTGGGAGGCCGAACGGCCGGAGATGCTCTAATGATTCATCCTTCTAACCAAACACAACATGGGCTAACTTTATCCAGACAACCAAACAAAAAATAGGATAGGAGCAAGACGAGCAGAGTAGGCAGTGAAGGAGTGAGGCGTCCTCTGGTCTTCTTCCACCGACCACACCCACCGATCAGCACTCAGCAGCCGGCAGTGTGAGCGACTGACACTGGACGAATCGCCAATGAAGTGAGGGGGGAAGCCAGCCAGCCACCGCCCAGAAACCCCAGCCAGGCCAATCCCCAAGCTTTCTCCTGCAAACCCTAGCAATGGCGATGCCGCTGTGAATCGGATCTGGTCCTAGCGGATCCAAGATGGGCTCTTCCCGAGGTAACCGCAACGTGAGGGCACGGCGGGCCGTGAAGGCCATGAAGCTCCTCGGCATCTCCAGGGAGCAGACCGCCCCCGTCCTCAGGCGCCTGGTCGAGCTCTACGACGACAACTGGCAGCTCATCGAGGCCGAGTCCTACCGCGCCCTCGCCGACGCCATCTTCGACGAGCAGGTCCCTTCCTTTCTCCCTTCCTGCCCCCCTTCCGGCATCCATCCATACCGAGAACCCCCGCTGTCGGAGGAGCTGATGAAATGGTTGCTCTGTTTTCAGGCCAACGGCGGCCCAGCCAATGGCGGGGATCAGGTGCAGGGGCAGGAGGAGCTCGATCTGGAGCTGGAGGAGACGGGCACCATGCCGGAAATGTTCACGCCGGAGGATGACGACCAGCGCCCTTCCACCTCCCTCGCCGTCGTCCGCAAGGACCCGGATAACCGCATCACCGCACCACGCTCGAGGACTGGTTCCAGAGCAAACCCCCTTGGCCCTGACCCAACTCAAGCCGCTTCGCCTACACAGACCAGAGCGCTGAGCAAGCGGAGGCAGATGCAGATGCAGATGATGGATGGAGATTTTCAGCAGCCTGTCTTCCTGAGAGAGCCCAAGCCTGAACCTGTCGACATGGATGCGGTGGACTGTCTGAATGTGCAACCTGGCTTGATTCATCGTTCGCGCAAGCGCAGTGCGCCCTCCTCAGAGTTTCTGGCATTGCCTCCGCCTGAACAAACTCCTACACAGATTTCAGAAGGTTCGCACTGACAATCTGAACTCATTCATCATTTTGTCCCGGTGCTATAGACGACACTTTAAGCATATTGCCTGTCTTTTATTTTCAGATCATGACATTTGACATTGTCTATGCACAGGGTGGTCATTTTAGTGTTTTAACCAATTAAGCAGTAGTGCTTTATGTTGTACAGTAGAAGAAAGGATTTTCGCTTCGTGCTATCCTGGCCTTATATCATGCTTAAAAATACACTTTCTGTTCAGTAAGCCACTTGTCCTTTAGCATCCCTACCATTGAAGATATGTTAAGTACAGAATCAGGATTTGTTAATACAATTTGTGATATACCTTTCCACATGCATAAAGTTGGGGTTGCTAGCATCATTTAGAGAACATACACCTTTCAATTGACCGGTTCAGTTTTGTATATTGTTCATCTGGACACTTATATTCACAAAAATTGCTCCCGACACTGGTTGCAACCTTTGCTTGGTAACTTAACATGTTAAATAAGGCTTTCTGCACTTTTGAGGTTCCACCTGCTGAACCTTTGCTTTAACATGTTAAATAAGTCTTTAATCAATCACATCTTGCTGTTATTTTTTTCTTCTGAGCAATGGTCTTACTCTTTTGAACTTTTAACTTTATATAGGTGATAAAAACAGGACAACTCAGCATTGCAGAAATAGGGAAATGCCTACTTTATCGGTAGAGCCAGCAAACAGCACAATGAACAATGGAACGGGATCTGGAGATGGAAATGTGCAGGAAGCACCTTGTTTAGATGTTGATATAGCATCATCCCCTAGGGGTGATGTTAAGATGTCTCTGAAATTCTGTATAGACCCATCAAAGTTCCACATGCCTGCTTTAGAAGCAGTTTTAAAGATGGTTGAGGACAAATGTCTTCGCTCTCACAAGGTTCTTCCTCCTGATTTTTCCATTCGCGGCCTCATGACTGAGATGTGCCAGTGTGTTGTGCAACTGGGCACTAAACATACTGCAGAGCATAATACGCAATCAGATACTGTCGGTAATGGCAGCTTGTCAGAGAATGCTATAAGTAGGAAACGGAAAGCTAGAGGAGAACCGTTGGTTTCGAAAGGCTCGGAGAGTGGTCCAGCAAATTCAACCCTTGCCCAGCAACACCATTTGGCACTTTCTGTATCGAAGACTATCCATGACATAACTGATATATCCAAGGGAGAAGAAAATGTGAGGATATCGATTGCAGATGAATCTGGCAGAGAGAAATGCCCACCTTCCTTTTATTATATGCCAACAAACGCTGTATCCCAGAATGCTCTTGTTAGCATGTTTCTTGCAAAGATTGGCAGTGAAGACTGTTGTCCTGAATGCTTTGGCAACTGCTTGTCCGCACCTGCACCATGTGCTTGTGCAAGAGAAACTGGGGGTGAATATGCATACACACTGGACGGTTTGGTTAAGCCAGCATTCATTGATGAATGTGTCTCTATGAACCGATTCCCAGAAGAACATCACATGGTGTTTTGTAAAACTTGCCCGCTTGAGAGGTCTAGAAACAAAGCTTCACCAGAGCCTTGCAGGGGCCACCTTGTTAGGAAATTCATCAAGGAATGCTGGAGCAAATGTGGCTGTAACATGCAATGCGGTAACCGTGTGGTTCAGCGTGGCATAAGATGCAATCTGCAGGTAACATTTAATGTTTTTGAAAACGTAGACTGTTGGGGCACTATAATGGCACATTTCCTTTATTTGCCGTGTGCAGCATCCTGACTGGTACTTTCATTATCTACTAGGTGTTCTTTGCCGAAGAAGGGAGGGGTTGGGGGCTCCGCACACTCGATGATTTGCCAAAAGGCACTTTTGTTTGTGAATATGCTGGGGAGATACTAACAAATACAGAACTGCATGAAAGGGCCATTCAAAATATGCAGAATGCTAGGTATACACATCCAATACTTTTGGATGCCGGTTGGTGTTCTGGAGGGGAGCCGAAGGATGAAGAGGCTTTATGCCTAGATGGAACATTCTATGGGAATGTTGGCAGATTCATCAACCACAGGTGTGCGCTTGTTCTTAACAGTCATGTTTATGATGCTCATTTTAAATGACAGCAAAGAGAAAGAGGCTTAACTTTAAATTGTCTTTAAAAAAAAACTTCTTGTAACATTCCATGTAGATGCTGTGATGCAAATCTAGCCATGATTCCTGTTGAAGTGGAGACTCCTGATCATCAGTATTATCATGTAAGCTACACTCAACAACTTTGTTATGTACCCGTCCCAGTACCTGAAAATACCATAAGATGGGCACACCAAGGTGATGATCTTATTTTTATTTTCTTGTTCTGTTCATAAAACAGGTTGCATTCTTCACAAGCAAGAAGGTGGAGGCTTTTGAGGAACTGACATGGGTATGTGCATTATATAGTTTCTTGATATTGATGCAGCATGTATGCAACTTTTGTTCATATAGACAAATGTCTCAATGAGCAAGACTACCAAATCCTGTGTACTTGCAAAGGTTAATGAATCTCATGGTATAGGTTTTTGTTGTCTAAGTGAGGTTGAGGTTGCTGTTCTATTTCTCAAGTCTTCTCTCTGAATGCATGTATATCCAGTGATCAATTTCTTTGTAGAATTTCCTTCACATAACCGCCTCAATGCCAATACTATGTCTCTGATCGCAACCATATGTGTTTACAACTGTTGGCTTTATCTTCCGTTTACTGATCCCATCCCCAAGAATTTGTTTTCGTCCACCGGTACTTATCTTTTAAGTAGAAAGTGCGTCTCTGCTGCAAGATGAAAAAAATAAATTATATTTACACTTTGGACACTAGAGCCGCAACAGAAGAGAAATGCTTAGTGAGATGTTGTTTGCTGGTTTCAGGACTACGGCATCGATTTCGACGACGAGAGGCAGCCCATGAAGCCGTTCGAGTGCCTGTGCGGAAGCAGATACTGCCGGGGAGGTCGGCGTCACCTCCTAAGTACGCGCTTGCTTGTTTGTTTGTCATCGCCTGTCCTGGAAGAGTGTTGGCATTTTGTTTGTTTTGAAGGCGTACCTAGTACTGATTGTTTTTGGGTTGTTTTGCAGGGAAGGAGAGGAGGAGGAGTAGAGTTACCGGTACCGCGGGACGAGCTGAGGTGTTAGAAGGTTGTTGATGCGGTGCGATGCGATGGTTGCTTGTTTAGGAAGGGTTAATTAACTAACTAGCTAGGGTAATCAAGTAGTAGTGTCACAAGCAAGGTGCTGCAGGTGGAAGAATGTATGTATGTGGTAGGTAGTTTGGCGTGTGCATTTTGGACAAGTGATGGATGGTATGGTAAGGGTAAGGCGGAGGAGACGATGGCTCTTCTCTTCTCCTCTCCTCTCCTCTGTGTAGAAGTAAAATGTGTATGGATCAAGTGACCTCGCTCGCTCTTAATATTAGTAGAACAAGATGCACTACTTACTAGTCCAGATGTGTATATACATTTCATGGGTATTTGTATGTTACACCTGGCACTCAACTAGAAACAATCCTAGTGGGTTGAGTTTGTATGGTGTTAAACTGAAACTGTTTCTTTCAGCTGCTGTGCTCCAGTACAAACTTGCTGGTTGTAACTCAGCTCATTCCCCTCCCCTAAGGAGTAGCACAGCCACAACACACGCAACACATGCAGCAGCACATTCTCCCTCTCCTGCACTGCTGCCGTGCCGGTTCCTTCCCTTCCTACTTGTGTTTTTTGTGCTACCTCTCCTTTTGGATTGTTGTCAGATCTGTTATAAACGTTAACCACAAGCACAAAACATCCCAAATATAGTAAAAATTTGTGAGAGCCCGGCTTAATAGGAATTATAGACTACTCATATTAACCGGGAACTCCTTTTCCGGGAGCCCTTTCGAAAAGAACTGCTGCACGAGTGAGGACAAAGTGCAAAGAAAGGCCAATGTTGGTCTGTGGGGTCAGTCTTGATCCCGCCAGGCGTAACAGGGTGTTACAAAATTACATCGAGATTTTTGCGCGATTGAACGTCCACTGCCGTCACTAGAATGAGCCGGTTGACGCGTAGTTGTCGATGCTCCCGAACCGGAGCCGGCCCGGCCTTGTCAATGACAGGTGAGAAGTTTTCGTGCACGTGCCCCTAAGAACCAATCCCAAAGCCGCAGTCGTCGCCGTTGAAGCCTTAAGCTGGTGTGAAGAATCTGCCACCAAATCTTGCAGTTGTGTATGCATGACGAGAAATGCTAACCTCGTCGCCATGAGCATATTGTTGCTACATGAGCCCATTATTGCAACATGGTGATCCATCTATAGATATGTATGAACAAAACAAATTTACAAAGATGGAAACTCATTAAGAAATATATTAAAACAATTAATTGTTTTATATCCATGCAAACAAATTTCAGGGCACCTAAAATTGTATCTGACCTTAGCTTCCTTTGTTTTGTACTACTAAAGATATGTGCCGTGTGTTGTCATGGTGTAATTTTTTTTAACGTAATAAGAGAAGAGTACGGGACAAATCTTGATGCAAGCAAATAGCAAAATATGATTATATGTGTTCGCGACTGATCTATTTTATTAGGTTATTGAAGATAAAAGACTGATTGCTATTTATTTACTTACGGTCATGAATTTATTGTTATTTATTGGGCTATTAAGATGCTTGTCCCCCATGAAAAAAAGATGCTTGGCCGGTGTTAGATTTTACCACTAGCCACAGTGGGAGTAACTTCAACAGTAACATCGAGTCCAACTCAGCCAATTTGCTTATGTGGCAATGAGTTAATGAAGAGAGAGATAGTTGTAATAACTTAGCTAGTTACTGTAACATCACATGTCCCATTGCAATATGAGAGGGTGTTTGGATACTCTCTAGTCATGTGACTAGTAGTAGTCAGACTAAAAGTTTTTAGTCAGGCCCTGTTTGGAAGGTGACTACTACTAGTCAACATTAAATGTCTCAGTATTAAATTCTTCTCTCCTCCTTCCATTTATCTCTCTTCTCTCCCTTGTGCCCGCAACAGGATGGGCCCGCCAATTAATTAGAGGAGAGACTTTAGTCACTTTTAGTTGGGGGTGGGGTGACTAGGGACTACACTAGTTTTAGTCACCCATTAGTCAGGGGTGTTTGGAGGTTTACTGACTAAAAGTGACTACTACTAGTCTCTAGTCTCTAGACACTAGTGATCCAAACACCCTCTGAGTCTATAACCTAATAAATGAATCTTTGCATGTTACCACATTTAAGTTACTACCCACTATGAAGATAGTAACATAGTCTAGGGATATGTGTATGTTACTCTTCACTGTGACTAGTGTAAGAAAGTTTATGGGCCGTGAATTTATGGATGTACCATTGATTGATCTGGTTTATTGGGTTGCTAAAAATTAGTGTGAAAGTCAAAAGGGAATGGAAACCTAAAAAATAATAATGAAGGGACCGAGTTAGGAGTGAGACAGATGTAAGATGGAGACAAAACCTTATGTCTTTTTCATGTAGTACTAAGTGTGTGCCCGTGCGTTGTCACATAGGCCAAATATTTTTTTTATCTCCATAACTTTGATAAATTAATGTGATTGAGCGGCATATGTGAAGGTGCGATAAAATATGGCATAAAATTAAGCGTCGTAATCACACGTTATATTAATGTGATCGAGCGGCATACTTGAAAGGTGTGGTTAATATGGCATGGTGGAAATAAAATCGACTGAATGAAAGGAAAAATCAATAGAGGGACGTGATGAGAGGTGGGAACCAGTTGACGAAGAATTCTGTTCGGTAGGAATAAAGATGCTAATTAATATATAAGTCATCTTAGGTTGTGCACCACGACCAAGGTGGAGCAAAAAACAAAAAAAAAACTTAATGGTTATTTGATAATTAATATCATCGCATGCAATGAACTGACCATTGCATGTCGTGTTTGCTAGTCTCAAGTCATTAAAAATATACACGTCCCACATTCCTTATTGATTGGTTCATTTATCTATGTCAAAAAACAAGAAATAAGATGAGAGTTAATGCACCGTGCTTAAGTGTTTTGGAATTATTTAATTTTCGTAATTTGACTTATACACATGGACGGAGGGGGTACTTATTTGTAAGTAGTATATCAAGATAGAGATGGACATCATCTTCCTCTTTTTATTATTAAAAAAGTGAGTTATGATAGAAACATTGAATATCATCCTTTTGTTATGTTAGATCTAATGACCAATATTGCTCCAATTATATTGTAACAGTTAAAGCATGATAATTAGTATTAAAAACATCATATCAAATCACCATAATTAGGATTCCAAATATAAAAATTGTCTCAATCAATCAAAGCATCGTAATTAGTAATCCAAAAAACATAGTAATTCAAATCAGTGGACCCGATCGCTAGACCACAACCACGAAAGCTGGGAATCGTGCCATCAACGGAGATATTGATATTCACTATTTACAAGGTTAATTAATCCAAAGAAGCAAAACACATATAAATAAATAAATAAATAAATAAATAAACAGATTTTAAATTTTGGATTATGTGGTTGCACATACATAACTGCTTTTCTTTTTTGAAATCACATACTTCCTTCGTTCCAAAATAGATGACCCAATTTTGTACTAACTTTGTACTAAAGTTAGTACAAAATTGAGTCATCTATTTTGGAACGGAAGGAGTACATAACTGATGGTATATACTACCTTCGTCCTAAAATATAAGACCTTTTTACAATTTATATATGTACTCTTTGTAAACAAATATAAGAGATTTTAGAGTGTAATAATATATTTCTTTTGTCTCATAATGTAAGCTTTTTTTTTATACTAACATTATTGGACGGAGTATAAAATACACACAAAGGAGATAGAGAATTTCCACTAAAATAAGAATACAATATACAGTAGGGTTTGTCTAGGTCTCAGTCGACTTACACTTCACGAAGTCTAAGTCAGGTGACATCATCCAACAGTAGCCCAGCCCATTTTAGTTTCTTATTAAGTCTTGGTACCTTTTTCTACTGTTGCTGGGCCGACCGTGTTATTGCATCCTAATGCCTTCATTTTTTCGGTTGTTGTGTGCTTTTGGACCAGCGAATTTTTGAATATCGAGAGTTTTTGTAGATGCTGCTCGTTCTGGCACACTGGCCGGGGCAGTAGTTAACTTTTTTTACGGTGAGGGCCAATAGTAACCTTAGATGTCTCAAAAACAAGTAGTAACCTTAGCCGTTTGCATGATTTTCCTATCATCCGGCCTTTTGTTGTTTTTGTTTGGTTTTTCTGTTTTTGCTTTTGTTTGTTAAATGTTTATTTCCTTTGAAAAATCAGTTATTGCTTCATCATAAAAAAGAAATGAAAGCTTTGTTTACATTTATAGTAATATTTTGGAAGAAAGTGCTTGTTTATTTTTTAAATCATCATGTGTTGAAACAAATATTCTTAAAAAACATCATGTATATTAAAAAAATGTTCACAGTGTGTTTACAAAAATAGAAAATAACTAAAAATACAACAACAAAATAAATTAAGTAGAAAAATAAAATATGATAATAATAGTAGTAGTGATAATAATAATAATAATAATAATAATAATAATAACACAAAGTTGCACTTTGAAAGACATGTAGTTGTAGTCACGGCTACACTGTGTTTAGTGGACGATATGCAACTGTCCCCCTTCTGACAAAAAATATCACTGAGTTGCAGTCACGTTGAAGACACACAATTGCAGTCACCTGTCCAGCCTTGATTTTCCCAGTTATTACTCGAGCGCGCTGAGGGGGAGTGACACTTGCAGTGGTGTGTTTAATGGCAGAGATGAAAAGAAAAAAATTTCCACACCGATAGTAGACATGTAATTACGCGTGATTTAATTTACACGCAATTGTGTGTGATCGATGTATGTGCAAATAGGTGGTAATATTTTTGAAAAAAATAAAAACTAATAAAAAACAGAAAAATGGGGAAAATAAAAAACGAAAATGGGAGCAAAGCTGGGGAACAATCAAGCGCAAATGCAACACAAAGCAATGACAAAAAGAACAAAAAAAACAAAAAAAAAATGCATGCTTGAACACCCGCCCAACCCACAAAAGCATGCCTACTGTCAAGAATGCAACTGTGCCCCCTCTCCTGCCGCCCTATGGGGAAATGAAGGTAAGTTGCAGCCGGATGGTTAGAC